CGGGAGGGGAGCTGAGCCGAGCTGAGCCGGCCGGGGTTGACGGGCTCAGGTGGGGTGAGGCTGGCGTTGGGATCTGAAAACGGGGACGAGTCGCGGCACCCTTCCCTCCCCCGTGGGAAGCCAGCTCGTGTCTGAACACCTCTTGTGTCTTGTTCATGGTGCAGGCTGGCCCCACAGGCCTTTTAACTTTAAACTAGCTTCAAGCCCAAGGTTCAAAATCTGTCTGCAGGAGCTAGTTACTGATTAGTCATTTGAGTGCTTTCTTCCCGATGAAGTTCAATCTGTCTGTCCTCTTGTTTCTTGGTTAATTAGGCAGGAGGAGCTAAAAAAGAAGTCTGGAAGCTCTGAGAGCGTCATAGTTTCATGAGCAACCCGCAAAGCACAGAGATTCTCTCATCTTCAAGCAGGAGAAAGGGCAAGGCTTTGGTCTTGCCAAGAACCAGTGAGAAGCGCCAAGGCCATGGCGCTGTCCTCCAAGAAGCATCACAGAGAAGAGTCTCTTCTGGAGTTAGAGAGAAAGGTTGTGGGAAATTAGTGTAACAGAACTCAGAGGCAGCCTCTGTGGAAACAGGAGGTGATAATTGATTTACAAACTCTTCAGGCTGATTTTTATCTACTCGCACTCCCTCTCTCATGGATTTCTTCAGTCACAGTCTGATACCTGAGTACAGACAAGCCCCAAGACATGAGTGTCCCAACTAGTCTGGGCAGGACCACTTGTGTACGACCCAGAGGACAAGGGGTACTGCTCTTCTGTGCTCCCCATAGCTCTTTGGTTCTTGGTTAGCAACAACAGATTACTTCTAGGGCAGGTCATTTATGTCTTTTAGGAGTCAGTAGCTGTTATGGGGTGGTTCTTCCCTGCAGTCCTGGCATGCTAACAGGAGGAATAGTGGCATACATGAAGTGATGCAGCCTTGCTGCCATCCTCCTGTTGCCAGAGTCTTCCAGTGAGGGGTGAGTTACCTGGGCTGTAGCTTTGGCAGAGCAGAGGCTTTCTAGAGTGGGTGGAAATAGCATGTACCTCAACTAGATTAGCAGTGTCCTTAGTGATGGGTGAAGGCCTTTTTTCACTAACCCTAGTTCTGCTGCTTTTTTCTCATGCTTTTGCACAGATGATTCCAATGAATCTTCATATTAACAAATCTCAAAATGGGATGATGCTTTCTACTTGCCAAGTACCTCGAGCTGTTGTGCAAAACAGGCAGTGGCATAGAGAGCTGCTTCAAACAGAGCTTGTTTTTGACAACTGGTGAGGAAAATGGTTTGTGGCCTATTTTGCAGGGCACCTTGAAAGGTAGTCTGTAAGCAGCAGGCCTAACTTTGCTACGCTCCTGACCTTTCTCTTTACTCTGTTTCTGGATATAGTGTGGGTTGTAAAGAAAATACGTAATTTTACATTCCGGTCTAGTCCTTTAGGCTTGTTAATTGAACACGCAAGTGCTTGAGCTGCTGGAATGTGAGCCTTTAATCCAATCATAGTGGCAAAGCTTTAGCATACTATTAGCAAAGATGTCTTTTCCTGGTTACTTAAAATTTTTGACAGTTCGGTCATTAGAACCAGAAAATACCCTAAAGTGTAAATGCTTCTTTATTCCCACTGTTAACCCCAATTTATTGAGTCTTCAGGTGTAACTACAACAACACAAAACGTTTGTGTATCTTCTCACATTGTCCTTCCAGCTCTTCTCTTTTTTTAAAAAAAAGCATAGTTGACGAAAATATCAGAACGCCATAAATTTGAAAATCTGTTGGCTTAGTCTGGAAAACGAGTGTTTGTATTTGTTTGTTATGCAGGCCTGGCAGGATGCTGGACTTGTCCTGTCCACTACTAGCAATGAAGCCTGTAAACTATTTGATGCTGCGCTGACCCAGGTATGACCAAAAAGTATAAGAAAATGTGATTTGAAGGGACTCATGCATGAAACTGTCTTTGCTGTAGTTGATGCTTAAATTTCTTACCAGCTGGGAGAGCCTTACAATCAGGCTGCTACAGGAGTTCAGCCATTAGCAGGCAGCAGAAAACCTTCATAGCAGAGGGCTATGCCGGATGCTGCAGCTGTGGGGAAAACTTCAGCCAGCATGGTCATCCTACTTGACCTGGGAGAATCAACCAGTTGACATGAACCGCATAGAAATCCATGGTTATTAGTTCTGCTGGTGGCCAAACTACCTTAAAGAAAACAGTTTTTCTGTTTTCCTATTACGCTAACCCTATCTGAATGCTAAGTTTGTCTTTTACTCATTTGTCTTGCTTACTTTTGGACTTTGCATGTGGAAGAACAAAAAGAACCCCAATATTATTGAGAATTCCTCGACTCTGTCTTACAGTACGCAACCTGGACCAATAATGAGAGCTTCGGGGGTATCGAGGGGTGTCTTTCAAAGTTAAAAGCAGCAGATCCAAATTTTAGTAAGTATAACCTTTAATTCTTAGCATGAAAAGTGCTGGATAATACCTTGTGTCTTGGTGTTTATTTACTTTGTTTAGGCAAGTGGGAACTGTTGTGTTACAGAATTCTGTAAAACTTCCTCAGTCTAGAGCCGGCTGGGATGGTTTTGTGGGTTGTTTTTTTTCTTTTCATTTAAAGTCTTTTTAAATGGCTATCATGAAAATCCTGTAAAAACTTTAGGTTTATGAGGCTTCCTGGACCCCTGTGAGTACAAGTCTTGTTCCAAACAACCAACCAACCCCTCTCCTTGTGTTTATGTGGAGATGAATTACCTGCAGTGCTGTACAGCTCAAGTTGTAATGTGCTATTTTCCGTAGCAATGGGACATGTCATTGCTAATGGTTTGGAGCTGATTGGCACTGGAAATTCAGTGAGACTCAACAAAGAGCTGGACAGCGCGATGAGAACGATGATGATGCTTTCAAAAACACAGCCACTGACTGAGCGGGAGAAGCTCCATGTGTCAGCGCTGGACATGTTTGCCAGTGGGTAGGTCCACTGTCATCCCATTTAAAGGACTGTGAAGAGTTTTAGCCACCAGAGGTAGAAGAGATAGTTGGTAATAGTAGTGCCTGACATTAGCTGACATCTAGGAAAGGATTGGGGTGAGATGTCAGTGGTTAGTCTTGAATCTCAAAACTGTAAGCACCGGCACCATGACTGGTTAGTGAGCAGCACCGTAGGAGGGGAAGTGCTCTATTGCCACCGCTTCATATCATTAAGCACTCCATGTTTAAAACCTGTCATAGATCCGTCAGTGGAATATACAATTTAGAACTAGGAAACTAAATACTTAACTACAGTAAGGTCCAAGGTAATATAACACAGACTTGGATCCACAGAAGCAAAGCTGCAGACTTTGCTTCTCTCTGTTGTCTCCCTGTGTCAAAAACTATTTCCTCTCTAAAACAGGGAGATAGCAGAGTGTCAGAAGTGCTGTAGAGGCTCACTGTTCCATTCAATATGACAAATCTATGTGCACTGCAGAAAGTATGGGCTAATGGTTAATTATTTGTTTGTCAAACAGGTGAGCATGGGTTTACTTCACATACTTCTTAACAAAAGTAAAGAAGAAGCTACTGAAGCCCTGTTACTATGAGTTTGAATCCCCTTAGAGGAGAGGGACGGTGTCTCTTTGCACATGCAAAGTTAGATTAATTATGGTAGGGCTCTGTAAAAACTGTTCAACCCTGTAGGAAAATCTTTAGATTTATTGTTTGAGCTTGTTTCATTTTCCTTGCGTGTTACAGTGACTTGCTGTAACCCAAGGACATCTCTTTCAAAAGATTTCCCAGAAAGTGCTCAGTGAAGGTAATTATTACTTTAAAAAAGAATAAGAAATTCCTTCAAGGAAAAAAAAAGTCATTTGATGTTGAATTTTCTGGTTTTCAGAATAGCATGAGTTAGAACTAACAGTAGAGACAGGTATGTGTGCCTTCTCTCAACAGTCAAAATATTTTTTTATTTCTAGCCAGCTTCCAAAAGCTTGTGATCTATGGGAACAGATTCTGCAGAGCCACCCAACTGACCTGCTAGCCCTCAAATTTTCCCAGGACACTTACTTCTACCTGGGATATCACATACAGATGCGAGATTCTGTTGCCCGGGTTTATCCTTTCTGGACACCTGATCTTCCACTAAGCAGGTGGGTCATGCTTCATTTTGAAAGATGCACGTACTTTGTGTTTTTTTAAGTTCAGACACATCTAAATAGCAAGATCTGTTGGAAACAAACATGTAAACAAAGTCAAGGGTTTAGAATTGAATCAAACCTGACCACAGCTAGAATGTCTCTCCTGTATCCCTGTTGACACTGTTGAGGGTTTTTTCTTAAGTGAGCTGTGGCTCAGTTAGTAAATTATGCTGTCAGATATGGCACATGGCATGTAACAAACAGGGTAAAATCATGTCCTCACTGAGGGCAGTGGCAAAACTGCTTCGGGCTTTTATGGATGGGTCCAGTTTTTCACTTGGGGCTCACATTGTGGGTAGCAGACCACATCAGTGGAAGGAAGAAAGCAGTTGTAACTTGCAATACCAAGGTGTAGTTCTGGAATAAAACTGCGGGATATACCATAGCAGCTGGTGCAGCAAAGACTGACAGGAAAGCAGAATTTTTAAAAAACTTCTTTAGATCAGTCCTGAAAGTTTTGGTTTCCCAAAATTAATTCCCAACAATCTGAATCTATTGAAAAGTGAATAGTTAATAAAAACTAACTTGGGATAGTTTTTAAGATTTTCTTTTAAGACCTATTAAATTATTTGAAATCTTTTGACTTATAATTTAATGTTAATTTTTGTGTGCAGTTAAGACACATATTTAGAGATAGATGAATACGCAATCCACAGGCAACCATAACTTTCTGAATATGTTATGAATGTTGCTGTAGAGCCATGCACTGTACCACCATATCCAGCATAATCTTTTCTCATTTTTTTCTTACACAAACAGTGCAGAGAATACAGACTGAATGCTAACATAATATTTAAGCTAACTGAGGTAGCCCACAATCTCATGGCACAGAGGGTAGTGTCGGTAATCTCATTTTTCCAGCCGTGTTACCTCAACTCAGAAAAATGTAACGCCCTTAGTTCTGTTTAACTATAATATGCTGGTTTCATTTGTTGGGGAAGTAAGATGACCTAGCAGTTTTGACTTAATTTTTATAAACTTTTCTAAACACAATGCTACAAAAGTGCAGGTTCACTTAATTGTAAAGCAACAGGAAACACCCATATGCCCAGCATTTCTTGAAATATAAAAACCTGGCAAGTACCCCTTGTCCTCAAACTTACAGGCAAGTGGAGTTACACGTTAATTGATATGTTGGCCAAAAAAAAAATCAACTTTTATTCATCTCGATCAATGAAATTAATCAGTTGCAACATACCCCACATTTTAGTAGTTCCTTTGCCTCAGTAGTTTAAAACCAAAATCCCAACAGATATTTTGAGAAGCAGAAACATATCCTATGGTATTTTGCAATCTACGAATCTACAAATAGAATAGCAGTTAATCATAGAATTGTTTAGGTTGGAAAAGACCTTTAAGATCAAGTACAACCATTAACCTAACACTGCCATTCCATCACTAAACCATGTCCCTAAGCACCACATCTACACGTCTTTTAAATACTTCCAGGGATGGGGACTCGACCACTTTCCTGGGCAGCTTGTTCCAGTCCTTGGTAACCCTTGGTGAAGAAATTTTTCCTAATAACCCATCTGAACCTCCCGTGGTGCAACTTTAGGCCATTTCCTCTTCTCTATTGCTTGTTTAAATATTTCTTAAAATGACTGCATCAGGTATATGCATAAGAGCATATAACATCCCTAATTTTCCTTTACGTTGGGACTTTATGGCTTAATGGGGATACTTTACAACCAGTTTTAAAGGGCCACTTCACATGGAAGTGCTCGCCTATAGTTTCGTGGGCACTGGAGCAAGTGCAGAAGGCTACACTCGTGTTGCTCTTGAGACGTTGAGATAACTTTGTTGACAGCACTGTCTTGCTTCTAGCCTTCTAATTCTGCATCTAGCAACTGTTACAGAGATCAGCAGATTGTTCTATGCAACTCATAATTCTAGCTTATCTAAAGATGTAAATGTCACTTCTCAAAATGCTGGTGATGTGCATCTTGTTACTGTTTCCCATACTGGTGTCTCTGGGCCTTTCATTTTTGAGGAGAACTAGCTGTTCTGTATTCTACAAGCTTGAACCCTCATTGTAACTTGCATTGTAAAGACTGTTTTGAGTTAAATGCTATTTCTAATAGGTTTTTCAGTTCTAGCTTAAATCTAGTTCTAAATGGATGATGTACTGGTTTTGTCCTTTTGCTTAGCTACGTGAAGGGCTACTACTCTTTTGGACTTCTGGAAACAAACCTTTTTGATCGTGCTGAGGAGCTTGCCCGTGAGGTAAACTGCCTGTTATTGGTGCTAAAAGGTTTTAGAATTTCTTAAACCTGGTCCCTATCTCTGGGTGGTGGTTTGAGCAAATGCCATGAAAGTCAGTTCATCATCTCAGTTGTTAGTAGAAGTAGCAAAGAGAGAAACTCAATATGGAAATGCTCACAGAGTTTCATAAAAGACCACTACTAACTATTCCTTAGAAAGATTCCCACATCTATGCCATACCATGGCAGTTTCATCTTGCCTGTATTTCCTTCACTTGCTTATGAGCGTGCCTTGTCAGATGGTGTCAGAACACCTGTATAAAATCTATATATTATACCATCTGCTGTTTCCCCTGTGTATAATTGGCTGCTTACTCCTATTAAAGAATGTTGGATTGTTTTGATGTAATCTGCTCTGGACAATCCATCCTGTTTCGTTTTCCCTTCCCTTTTTTCCCAGATGCTTGTTCCTCAGTTATTGAACAATTAACTCTACAATGTTCCTGGGGATCAATATTAGCCAGCCTGTTTCCTTTTTATGAAGACAGTAATTATACTTGACCTCCTCCAGTCCTCAGGATTATCCCTGTCTGCCAGGAGTCTCAGATACTATTAATTTCTAATGGGTGTTTTTGCCAAACTTCTGTTGCATCAAATTGCTGAAAGTGACAACAAAGACTAAACATTAACATTTAGCATTTACGAGGTTAATGACTAACCTCGCAAAATGCTTAAAACCTAGTGGGAGTTGTTGGAGCAAGAAAGAGGAATTTGCTGAACACTCAGAGCTGGCCATGTTCTTGAAGAAGAAATGATTACCTGCAAGGCAGTGTGACGTGGAATATATCATGCCTATGCATGCAATTTCATGGCTGATATTGATGCATGCCTGGGAAATAAAACATCATTTGATAAACTTCATTAAAGCTTGCATTTTAAAGTGTTTTGCAGGTGTTCATCTCTGCAGTAGAAGCTGGGAAGTGAAGTCAGCCAATAAACGTTGTCTTCCTTTTCTGTCCAAATCACTTCCTGGCTGTGATTAGTTGGAATGGTACAGGGATGTACTTAACATGTGGCAAGTAAAATGTAGTCTCTTGTTTCTGTATCAGCAGTGATAAATATTGTTGTCTGCAAGCTTCATCATGTTTTCCCTTTTTCACTCATAGGCTTTGGCTATAAATCGGACAGATGCGTGGTCTGTTCATACTATAGCTCATGTAAATGAAATGAAAGCAGAGGTGAAGAAAGGGTTAGAATTTATGAAGGAAACGGAAACCAACTGGAAGGTAAACATTCTTGTAGCATCTCTGAAAAAGCTCCTGCTAGGTGGTCTTCATCTCTTCCTGCCAAGTTCTTAATTTCTCTGCATGCAATTCCTTCCTATCTGCAGACATGTTACAAGCAATGAAAATTTAACATGTTGGAAGAAACTGTCACATGAGGTGCTGTTACTATCCATGCTGCTTTTGAAGCAAGAGGCAGAAAAAAAAAAAAGGGTGTATTATGAGGGGTACATACTGTAGACCACTTTAAGCCATTGTTACTACAATTGCTGAGATTACACAAATGCCAGACACGTCAGTAGTCCAGGATTCGCAGTCTGTCCTTTCACACTGCCTTACTTTAGCTAGGAATATTGTAATAAATACAGCTTTTCAACAGGTGTGTGGTTTGTACATGCACGTGTACGTGATTTATTGGTATGTGATTTGTCGTGTGGTTTATAAAAGTGAAGAGACCAGTGGTATTTTCACAAGCTTTTTACTTGGACTGAGATGAGCACTGAGAGTTGAAGAACCTGGCTAAACCTCTTCACAGGAACCTTAGATAATGTGTGAAATGACACTGCCAAATGAAACATTTTAAAAGACTCATAAAATATTTGTTTGCTTCTGGATAGGGAAGAATTTTTAAAGGGCAACTGTAAAGAAAAGCAAAATGATGCTTTTGTCTCTTTTGTAGTGTACTGCAGTTGCTTTATATATCCAACAAATTTGAGCATATCTCAGAGTTTTGAACAGCTTAATTAATCAGTCATATGGTCCTTTGCTGTAGGTGAAGCCTAATTTTTATTTGTCTTGGACAGCATGCACTTTCCCCAGCATGTCATATTCAGAGCAGAAGGCTGTGAGGTTTGAATTTGTTAGAACCTGCAAGAGTCTATTTTAGTCATTTGAGCTGACCATTCCACCTCACCCCAAGAGCAGGGCTGGGTAATGAGGCTAGAAGGACTGTTTATTTTACACTTGGTTTTTTAAGTTAAGCATTCAGATACTGAGCTTGGAAATGCAGGCAGAAAGCCCTTGTTTTGAGGTTCGTATCTGTCATTTCTCAGAAAGCATTTTGTCCTTTGATCTATTAGTTTTAATGAAACAGTGATGCAGGGGGCTGATGGCTTGGGTGATGCCTTAAAAACCCCCAATCACTGACTTCTGGATCAATTTTTGAACTCTTTCTTAAAATAGTTGCATGCCTCTGTCATTTATACCCTTTATCCAACTAAAGTAAAGTGGTAAAAAGAAGTGCAAGATCAGTAAGTAGAACTGTCTGATGCACCTTCGTCCCTGACCCAGTATAGTTAAGATTTGTAACAGCTGATTTTGTAACAATAATATGTATAATTACTTCTTTTGTGCAATATTTTTCATCTTAACCATCATGAACACAGAGCGTTAAAATGTAAGAACATGGAGAAAAAAAAGCAGGTGTCTTGAAGGGCTTTAATAAAGTTGCTTGTATTTTGCCCGGTGATTTGAAATTTTTTATTTTTATTTAATGACCGGGATCATCTATCTGTACTGCCACAGTATTCGGGCTCCTTCTGTTGCTTTTAATTCATCTTTCTCCTTCTCAGTAAGAGTGGCAAAGATTTGATACAGGTTTTCTTTACAGAGGACTTTTTTTTTTTTCTCTCCTCCCTCCTCCCCCCCCGCCCCAAGCAGATGCCATTTGTTTTATATGTCTATTTCAGCACAAATTCAAAAGGGGCAAATTACCTTACCAGACAAGACCTCTCTGCCAGTGCTGCTTATTATTAAATAGGAATGGTTTTCTCATGAGCTGCTGGAATGAGTTTGTGTAACCTGCTTTTATTTATTTGTTTAGTAACCTGCAAGACCACTTCTTCTTAGGAATTTAATCTCATTTAGAACTCAAAATCAGCAGCAGAAAAAGGTGTTTGTTTTATTCTGTGAGGTAATCCCATGTTCTTGTTTGTATGACATTTGGAATGGTAGTATGGTAGTAAACTTGATATTATCAGGTTTATGCCAAGCACTTAACTACTTCAGTTACTCAGGTTTGGTTTGTGATTTGATATTAAACAAGTAAAGATTACCACAATGTTTATCTTAGCCCATAAAGTTCTGCCATTCATTGGGAACCTTTGTGCCTCCTGAAAGTGGGTGTTACAATTGTCACCGTGAAATTGAAGATGCTTTTTCCACTTGTGAGAACATTAAATTTTAACTACAGCACTGTGAGAGAATGGGAGGAGAGGGATGAACCTTTCTGAAAATTTTAATTTTCATCAAAGGATTATGGAGTTTTATTCCTGTCTGTCTGTTCTCAATGCACTCACAGAAGTGAACATTGTCTTGAAGTGCAGGCTAGGGAAGTGTATTTGAAGTTCTGGTGCCAGCTGAAAAGGACAGTGCAAAGTTGGTACAGCTCAGCAAATATTCATCTCATCTGATGAACTGCCAGTGGGTTTGGTATCTCGTGCAGCTTCTGTAGTCCATAGTAAAACATCTGTTTAAGAAGTGATTCCTCTCTGTCTGAGCTGGATGTCTAGACAGGTGGGATGAATGGCCCTCATAAGGTGGGTATCTCTCTCCACTATCTATCCAGGTTACTTTAGACAAGACGCCTAAATTTTAGATGAGACATATCTTGCTCGTTACAGATGTGGGTTTTTTCAATTCTTCACACAAGAAGTGCTGCAGAAGGGTGAACTCTAAGGCAGCTATTTGACATTCTTCTCTGAAAAATGAGGTGGGGGAAACCTTGGTTTTGAGGTGTCTCCCTGAATAGCTGCAAGGAGTAAATGTATCAAATGAGAAGGTATCTTGGCCAGATGGTTTAAAGTTCTTGTCTCTTCTGTCTCATGAAGTACTCAAGTTTTGCTGAAGAAGGGAAGCAGAAATCTGACTAGATATGTTTAAATGGGAAGTTATTTTGTAAATAATATTTTCTGTTCCTTCTTTTTTTTTCCCCCAGAACAGTGATATGCTTGCTTGCCATAATTACTGGCACTGGGCTTTATACTTCATTGAAAAGGTATGAGATATTTTCATATAGGGGTTTTACGGTCCAGGTAGGTAATTCATCTAATGCTATTTAAAAGGCAGACCTAACATCTATAGAGTTTTTTTCAGCTATTTAAAGGGATGTTTTTGTAAAATAGCACAATGCCATTTTTACAAGCTAGTTCTTTATTACAATTATTTTGAGAAGTTCTAATTACATTAGTCAAAGTTCCAGGACCTTTGTTAGAAAGTTTAAAAATTGCTGTGATATTATTGCATGTTTGAAGATCAAATAGTCTCACTAATTACACTTGGCACCGTTATCTGACAGAAAGATGAACTCGGATCTCTAATTTTCAGGCAGAATTTAGACAAAATTCTCTTCAAATTTGATACTAATTTGCTCGTCCAAAAATTTGCTGACCATAAGAAAGAGGCAGTGAGCTCTAAATTTGCTCACCAATGTTATTAATTATTAATGTTACTAATTCTTATTATTGAAACACTTTAAAAATGGTTGCAATTTTTCCCAGCCTGTCAGGTTGCAATGCAGAAT